TTTGAGCAGTTATTCTGCTGGAGACTGTTCAAGCACCCTTTTGAGGTAGAAGTTTGGCATTAATAACTTAACAGTTGAGGCTAGAGGACAAATTTTCAGCAGAAGGAACTCTATGGCTAATGAAGCTTGGAATTTACTGGAGATTGATTTTAATGTTTCTTTTGCTTTCCCACTAATGAGATCTAAATTATAGACTGATAGACTTTTCTTTTTCACCCATTATTTAAAAGCCAGATCACATTTTAATTTCACATTGAATTGCCCATAAAATATTAAATAAGGTAAATGCAGCACAATTATCCAACTTAGGAAGTGTCCTTTTTTTTTGCTCTTAAGTTCTTAACTGGGTTTTGTAAAGAGCCTCAGCAAAATCTATTTTCTCTGTTTTGAAATGGTGCTGTGTTCGTACAGCTAGGAAGAGGGTGCTACTATTCAGTAGCGAGCGTTTTTGGGTGTGATAAACAAAAGCCTATGTTCATACATCGATTCCATCATTCCTGTGGCTTTCCTAATCTTTTTTTTTTTCTTCTATGGACACAAAATAATGCTAATTTCTACCTTCAGGATCAAGTTATTCTACCATTTCTCCTGGCCATTAATAATGGAGCCTCTGATGTAGAGTCCACGTAATGGATCTGTCTCCTGATACCTTTTGTCTTTTCCACACCCACTGCCCTGTCAATGCCCTAGGGGATTGTTTTGCAAAGTGCTCGGATGATCATTCTTCCTGATGTACTCATTATTGCCATGAGGCCTCCTGTGACTGACAGCTGAGGCAAACGGTGTAGTGTTGTGATGTGATTACCTGGAACCACAAACCCAGATTCCCTCAAATAAATTAAATTGATTTTGATTTGCAGTCCAAGAAAATAAGGTTCCAGAATGTCAGCCATCTAGTCTTTCCCCTGGTCTCTAACTAAGTTGTAATATTGCTAGGATAAATTTTATTTGAATCCAGTCTGGTTGAATCACAGCAGAAATAGTCAAAACCCAAATTAATAATTTTTTTTCTTCAGATGTAGATTCTTAATGCATATGACTATATTAAACATTTGTCATGACTCAGAAGTAGATTTAGGTTTGAATGTTTAGAAGATATTATGCATTAAACACATGAACACACATTGTCTCTCACAACAGGTAATTTCCCATTCCTTGCTCCCTAGGAATCATTTTAGTCTTGAAACTATTTCTTGGACAAGGGTAAGAACTTAACTTTATATGTACATGTGGAGAGCTGAGCAAGTCCATGTTCTCTCATCTCTGTAATTTTTGCTGCTATTAAAAGCTCGAGCTCTATATACCAAGCTTCTGTCATATGTGCATCGAAACTTGCCAGCCTGCTGGTTCTAGTGTCCGGCTGCATACTTAACCTGGTCAACCTCTGAAAAAACCAAACAACAAACAATCCACAGAATCACAGGCCTCACTCCAGGACCTCTTCGTGAGTATCTCGGGGGTGGATCCCTGTAACAGATATTTTTATAAAGGCATGTCATGTGACTTGAATGCAAAGCCAGGTTTGGGAACTTATGTTCTGGGTAGACTGAGTGTCAATACCCACTTGGTACGGTTGATTTCTCTTTGGAATAGTCTACAGCGGAGCTGCTAGAAATCTCTGACAGTGATTTATTCATAAAATAATTCTCTGGAAATTTTTTACAATGTAATTTATAATATAATTCTAAACTATTACTTTTATTTCATTATATCTTTGAATCTTGGTGTGTCTTGCGTTAAAACTGACTTTACAGAGAATTTTTATTCTCTAAATCTCATATTTCAATAAGCTTCTTTTCACCCTAAAAAAATCCTAATTTAAAGAATTGTTTAAAATATCACTGACACCAGAAGAAGATTAAAACTAAGATGAGATGAGTAAAAATTGATTTTTAATGGTGTCAAGTCATACTCTCTCGAATGGACAAGTAAAAGTTTAATTACCGTTTAGAAAGCACATCATGCGTCTTGTTACCTCCAGTGTTTCCTGTAACTAGAAATATATCACCTACTTTTGGAAAACACACTGAAATGGAATGAATAGAAAGGGCACTTTAGCTGTCTGATTAAGCGAAATCCATTGATTTGTGTGTTTCCAACCAGCGGAGTCTTTGTCTCTGCATCCTGTGTAATGGTTCAGGACAAAGCGATTTATAACTTTAATTTTCTATCCTTCGATATGGTGCTTGTTTTCAGAGTTTGTGTTTAGTTATCTGTCTCCTAGGTTTAGAATGTCTTGTTTAAAAAAAGTCAGAATTATTTTATATTCATTTCTTAAGTATGGACTCAAACTTTTAGCATATTTGGAGGAAGAATCAATTATGTTATCAAAACGCTAGAAATATTTGACACAGAAACTGGTGTTTCTGTGCGTGTGACGCTATATGGGTGTGTACTTTAAGGGCTTCTTTTCATTAGAAATGTAATGTGTGAAATATATATGTTAAGGTACCAACTTTGGGCCTGTTTATCTTTGACTTTTTCTGAGTTTTCCTGTGATTTTAAAAACATTTAGGCCGGGCGCGGTGGCTCACGCCTGTAATTCTAGCACTCTGGGAGGCCGAGGCCAGAGGATCACTTGAGGTCAGGAGTTCGAGACCAGCCTGAGCAAGAGTGAGACCCCGTCTCTACTAAAAATAGAGAGAAATTATCTGGACAACTAAAAATATATAGAAAAAATTAGCCAGGCATGGTGGCGCATGCCTGTAGTAATGTTCTAATTTATCCTTTGTATATCTCTGTGAACTGTTCTTTAGCTTTTATGCAAATCTTGTGTGAAAAATCAGCTAGCCACTTTATTAATATTTTCACATTTATTGACGAGCTAAATACTAAGTGCTACCCACTTAAAGAATACAATATTCAAAAGAACGGCTGAGTGACATGTGGAATTAGGCTTGCCTGTCATGAATATTCATTTTACTGTTTTAACAGTCCACTTTAAGATTTCCACAGTAAAAATTCCATTACTGTTCAATTGGTTATATTTCTCGGTTATACAACTGAGGTGTCTGCTTTCCTCTTTTCCAGCTTGGGGTGCTTTAATGTGCTCAGTTCAACCCCAAAGTGTACATACGGGAGCCCAACACTGCCACCCCTCTGGTCCTCTAGCAGGTTCCTAGAGAAGGACTCTTTAAGGGATAATGGAAAGAGAATGGAACATATAGATAGAGACAGATTCTGCTCCCACTCAACAGCCAGAGGGAAGGGGCATTAACCCAGGGGGTGTGATGTTTCCTTTCCTGTGAAGACTGAATACTCAGCTAGCAATGTCCTGGTTAATCACAGCTTTTGGGCACTCTGTAGGTGTCCTTGCTCAAGGTCTTTCTCTCTGTCCATGGGGTCCAATGGAGTACCAAAAACTTCTCTGGGTCAAGAATAAGGTGAATAGGCCTTTGGACCCCATGCCCCTCTTTTCAACACTAATAAGTCTTTCCTGAATTTCTAGCTTTTCTCTTTCATCCTTTATTTTATTCCATAATAACCCTCAATAAGTATTTCCACAAGGAAATTCCCAATAACCCTTTAGACAAGAACCCAAGCAGAAAACAAAACTTGCTTTATCCTCTCCTGTAGCGTAAGGAGGGCTCAGGCTTTAGAAAGATGGTTCTAAATCTTGTGAGATATTTTCACTGAGGATGAGTAATAGCCACATTCGAGCATTAGCCAATTGGCTTCTCATGTTAACCCTAACAATGACAACAGCAGCCAAAGGGAAAAAAGCAAAAAACAAAAACAAGCTCGATTTCATGCTAAAAAAATACTGTACATATTTTATACCCTGCAGTATTCAGATGAAGGATATATAGAACAATGAATGGTCATTACAGTGTAATACAATGTAAATTACTAGAATAAGTAATTCATTATAGCTAGACATAAACTCCACTTGCATTTATTGTGTGTCCACTAATGTCAGTCCTATTCAAATGTATTGTTTAATTGTATTTATTCCCAACAAAATACCTGTGAGTTAGTTATTTTTAGATTCATTCTAAAGATGAGTACATGAAAAACTTAAAGATGATAAATAACTTGGCCTAACAACATACAATCATTACCAAGTGTTATTATAGGAAATCTAGCTTGTTTTAGTTTTTGGCTTTTTTCCTTTTGGCTGCTGTTGTCATTGTGTCATTGTTGATGTTAACTCGAGAAGCCAATTGACTAATCCTCAAATGTGGGTATTACTCATCCCAGTGAAAATATCACATGATCTAGTACCAGTTTCTAAAGCTTGAGCCGAAAGAAGAGGAAAACCTGTTTTGTTTTGTTTTATTCTACGTGGATTCTTGTCTAAAGGGTTATTAGGAATTTCCTGGGTTTTTAACTTTTCTCTATTATCTCTCTGTTTTTTCCATAATAATCTTCAATAAAGATTTTCACAAGGAAATTATATTGCTGTTTCTTCTTCTTACCCTGTAGCACTAGGTGAAACATATAGAACAACATTGGGTGCTAATGGAATTAATCCTGATTTTGATTTTCCTTAAAAAAAGTTTGTTATTTGTTAGTTTCTGGTGTGTAGCACATTTTAAAGGTCTCATACTATTTGAAATTTTTACAAAGAGTTTTAAACAGGAATTAATGCTGAATTTTAGCCAATGTCTCCTAGAATTTATTGATATAATTATAGAAGTTTTCACCTTTAATTTTTTAGTTGGAAGCATATTGATAGATTTTGTAAGTTTGAACCATGTATGCATTCAGAAGGTATATAACTTGGTGGACTTATTATATTTTAATATATTGCTAGGTTTGATTTGCTAATGCTTATTTCCTGGCATTTAATTAGTTTGAATTGCTTGTTTTCCCCAAAACAGCAACACCAGTACTTTTCCTTTCAATTATGACATTGGTTCTCGCATTCTTAGAAATCTGGCTTTTTCTGTGCCATATTTAAAGGTTAATCATATTTTAATACAGCATGTTTTATGCAGCTCCTTAGACTTCAAATCAGAACAACAATAGTAACAGTTGACTCCGTATGTTCTCATTAGAATTCTACCAAATATCTGGCTGGGTAGCTGCCCTCGACAAGTGGAACATGTAACCATCAAACTGAAGCATGAATTGGGGATTACAGCTGTAATGAATTTCCAGACTGAATGGGATATTGTACAGAATTCCTCAGGCTGTAACCGCTACCCAGAACCCATGACTCCAGACACTATGATTAAGCTATATAAGGAGGAAGGCTTGGTCTACATCTGGATGCCGACACCAGATATGAGCACTGAAGGTAAGGATCGGAAGAATCGTTCTGGCTCCTTGCTGAACGTGTTTCAGAGAAACCCTTGCTGTCTGTCTGTCTGCCTGCCTCTCTCTCTCCCTAGTTATCTATAAGTGAATATGCTAAATATGAATGGTAGAAATAGAATAAATATAAGATTTTAGGTTTCATATATTTGATACATATCTTTTAACACTGCGGCTAAGATTCTGTTTAATGTGACTTCTTTAATTTATTTATTAAACATATATTTGTTGTGTATCTACTGTGTATGTGGCATTTTGCTGGGTGGCTGGGAACACAAGGTGAAGAAAGGTGGGCACAGCTCCTGTCTTCACGGAGCTTATCATCCTCCAGGGATGGCAAGCGTTAATCGAATAACTATTAATAAAAATAGAAATTTAAAACTATGATTTTTTTTGTTAGAAAGATACATAGACATTGTTATGAGATTATGTACAGGCAGTGGGGCCCAGGAGGGGGTCAGGGAGGGTTTTCTGGGGAAGCAGTGTTTGAGTTAAGATCTGAGGGTAGGCTGGGGCAAGAGTGAATGCAGAGTGCCCCAGGCACAGAAAGCAGCTTAGGAGAGTCCCTGTGGCAGGAGAGAGCACAGAGCATTGCAGGAACTGAAAGACCAACGTGGCTGAAGATCAGAGAATGAGGGATGACATTCTTGCAGGATTTGGGTCACCATAAGGACTTTAAGACTCTATCCTAAGGCAACGAACAGCAGTTGAAAGGGTGGGAAGCTGGGAAATGCCACGATGCAATTCTTTTCTCCCAAAGTGGATTTCGATTGCTGTTGGAGAATGGGCTGGAGGTGGGCCTGGGAGGCCAGTTAGGAGGTCAGTGCAATGATGGAAGTGAGACATAATCAGAGAGAATGCAGCTCGGGCTGGGGTGGTGACAGTGAGCCTTCATTTATCGCACGAGTACTTGCTGAGCGTGTCTTTGTGAAAAGGGACTTATGGTGTGGCTTGGATGCTGCCAGGGAACAGAGACAACTAAGGCATAGTTTTGACCTCATGATAAGACGCGGTAAGGCAAGTTCAAAACTAATTAGAGGACATAGAAGAATGGGCGAGAGAGGAGTGGGTAACGCTCCGAGGAGGATTGGGAGGAGCACCTTCTGCGGAGGAAGGTGTTTGAGGTGGGCGTGGCTTCGACAGGTGACAGGTGGATGTGGAAGGAGAAAGAGCGCGCTAGGTGGAAGCAGCAGCTCAGGCAAGGCACAGAGGCGTGGGATTTTAGAGGAATGATATGTATTTCAGCCTGGTTGTAGAAGAAGGTACTCGTTGAAAAGGAACGGAGATAACTGCAGTCCTCCGCGGAGAGAACGAATTTACACCGATACTATCAAGTAGATGTCAGCAGGGGGCAGCAGAGAGCTGTGGAAATGGCACAGACTAAGGGAGTTTGGTGACCTGCTATTTCGGGGGAAAGAAGGCAGGCAGTAATGCCTAACCAGGAGACGTTTCTATCTGCAGCCCTCTTCCCCCAAACACACATTATGCATCAAACATAAGCAATTTACACGCATTAACTCATTTAATTCTCATAACAGCACTCCGGGAAGATACTGTAGTCATCTCCATTTTGCAGAGGAAGAGAATGAAGTGCAAAAAAGTTAAGTAACCTGCCCAGGTCATAGAACTATTTTAAAAGAAGCACAGCCTGAGTTTCAAGGCAGGCAGTTGGACTCCGACTATTGCTCCAGACACCAGCTATGAAGCTCCTCCCTGTGTTCTCACACAGACTCTTCATGAAGATTCTACAGAGCAGCACAATTTCAATCCCTTATGTTCATCATCAGCTGGAGTTATGTTAAGCCATGAATTGCACAGGAGGTAGCTTATCTCCCTGGAACTCTTAGGACCACAGGGAACCTTTATGGATCTCAGGTGGTTTTCCTGGCCAGGCTGGGCCCCTTTGTGAGTCTGTGTCTGAACTGAACTATCACTGCAGATGGGGTATAATTTTTGTTCCTGAAGGTGGGGAGAGCTGTTGACAGTTTGGTTATTCCTCTTGGTAACTTGATCCAAGGAAACTTGATTTAGCCATAAGAACTCTGCTCTTTCTCAAGGAAGGAAAAAAAAAACAACCTAAAAACTTTATTTGCATACAAGAGCAGTGGTTGAATCTATGAATCTAGGTTATACTTGCTCTGTCCCGATGTTTCTTTCTGGTTTCAAAACAGAGAAAGTTGTTAGGACACATAACACTGTAGCTTCCAGAGAACATTTTGATTTTAGTGGCTTTGATTCTGATTTAATAGCATCGTCATCCCCGTGGAGTATTATATGAGATGAGGCTGGGAGAAGTTGAGCTACTAACTATGCCAGGCATCCCATCCCATCCCATGCACGGATTACCTGAAGGTCCTCTGATTTCTAGGTAATTTGCTTGATAGTTTGGGAGTCAGGAGAAGCCTGAGGGAAAACTGTATCCCCAAGGATCCATTGCAATTTTGTAAAACCTTTTTTGGGGTCTCTGGGGCACTGGGTCCCAGTCGTAACAGTGCAGCCGTGGAGCACCTTTCATGCTGAGATGGTACAGCGGCACGATGACAGCAAAATGCAAGCTCCTTCTCGAAAAAGGCCAAGCTGTAAGATTGAATGAATAAAGGATTTCTTTGGTTCAGCCTAACCTGGGGGGGCGGGTAATCAAAGTGTTAATGATTTCTGAGTGGCAGGGGGACTTTTTACCAATAGATCAATCTCTGTGGCTCACAATAGTAGCACGACGAACATATAGATTAATTCAGCTGAATATTTTTAGAACTCCAGAGAAAAATCCATCTGGAAGTGTTTTGAGCCACAGCATAATGCTGTCAGATGAAGTCTGAGAAAGAAGACAGTTTGTTAGGCTCGACTGTCACCACTGGTTGTCACAGACCCGTTACAATCAATTGTGCTATCTATCCTTACTCTTGTACACTTTGCCGTACGTGGAGGAGTGGTTTAGATTGCTACTTCTTTTTCTTATCTTTGAAAAAAAATTTGGTTTGTCTTTCACCTGAGAAATGGAAATCTCCCAAATCTAGCACTCACCTGAGCAAAACCAAACACACCGAATCTGCTCATTAAGATTTCCTTCACATAGAAAGTATTCAGATTGTGTTTTGACTTCTGTCAGTGCAGTGCTATTTATAACAAATGGTCTACTCTCACCTCCCAAATGAGTTCATATGCTTCCTCGAGTCCTCAGCTACCTCTCTGTTGTCACAGTCTGAGTTCTTTTCTCTCACTCGTCTGAATTCAGCTCTGCCATCGTGCAGAGACGCTGACCTTAGAGCCAGAACACCTGGGCTTGAGTCTTGCGGCCACTGAATAGCCGTGTGATATTGGCAGGCTAGTTCCTGCATCGGGAAAATGGGGACAGTAATTTCTACATTGTGGGATTATAATAGAGTAAGATAATTCCTGTGAAAGGGCTTTGAAAGTCACAAAGTTGGGATGATATAATTAGTCCCAAGTCTTTAGGTTTCCACCAGAAGATGTCATATTAACAGATACAATGAACCATATCTATATTACACTCCAAAGATGGAAAAGAAGCTATACCCAAATAAAATAATAATATATTCATCCATATACTTGCTTCTGGAGTAAGAAAGGAAAGATGTGTGTGTGTGTGTGTGTGTGTGTGTGTGTGTGTGTGCGCGTGCGCATTAGAGAGGCTGAAAGTTGTGCCATGCACAATCTCTTTCAGGGTCAGCTTTGGACAAAGTTTATCTTTAGGGTCTTTTGACCCTTCTCCCTTATCTCAGGCCCTAATGCCTCAGGCCGCTCCATGCACCTGCCAGTGGTCTATCCCTCCCCCTCCTCACCACCTTGCCTTGTTTAGTGCGGCTTCCAGGACACTCTTAATCATTCCAGAGTTGGATTAGCCTGGAGCAGGTGTGGGCCACAAGTCAGGTTAGAGGGGTCTAGCAGTGTCTCAGATCAAACAGATATTACTGGGCTTTCGTTGTTTGTTTTGTCTTGTTTTTATCCATGCACTTAATGAATGTTCATCAGTATCTCCTGAGAACCAAGGCCTGTATTAAATTTCAAAGTAAGAAACAGAGATGGAAGATCACTTTGTTTGACTTGCAGAGGGTTTACAATTTCTCAACTTAGTTGCCAATCTTTAAAGTTTGGACTATTTTACATAAAAAGATCTTTCTGTCTTGTCTTGAGGTATTATTGTTTTTAAGAATGGAAATACTTTATTGAATTAAATTCTATGTGGAGCCTATATATAGGAAACAAAAACTAGATGCTGTAGTTGACCCTGCTCTGCTGTGTGGGGTATATCAAGTTGAGCTCTGATTCTTGGGACCCTCTTTTTATTCCTTGGTGGGTTAATATTAGCATGGGTTTTCAAGTTGAGAGAGACAGGCCCCTTGAGAGGGCTTCTCTAGGGTGGGGCAGAGGTGCTAATCCCCAAGGAGGATGTTACTGTCACACAGGGGTAAGAGTAGCAGTGTGACCAGGTAAGTGGGGTGCAGAGGGACTGACTGACAATCCAGATTGACAAGATGGGGGACAAAATGCACCATTAACCAGGTAGGTGAGGGAAGGACCATCGTACAGTGGTTAAGACCTGGGGCTTTGGAGTTACACTGGCTGGGTTTGAGTGGCCACTTAGGGAATAGCCTTGGGAAATCTCTGTGCCTCAGTTCCTTCATATATAAATAGAGGATAGCAATAGTGCTGACCTTGTAGTTGTTAAGAGGTGGTTGTAAATGAGCTAATTTGTGCAAAATGCTTAAAACAGTGCTTGGCAGGTAGGAAGGGCTCAGTAAATGTTATAGCTCATCAATCACAGCTGGTGATTTGCAGTCACTAGAGGTCAAAATAAACAAAGGCTCCAGCTGAAGCCAGGCTGAGATGGGTGGGTGCCCTGCAGTGGCTACTTCTCTGGTGGCCCTCTTCATTATTCATTTATTCTTTATGTTATTTGAATATTTGTCAACTCTTCAGTGGGATGGTTGAATGATTCTGGGGGAAGTCCATTCATGGCTGTGCCCTGTTGGTGAAACCTACGTAGAAGCTGTGAGCCTTCAGAGCTTCCACCTGGGAGGTGACACCAACAGAAAGACTAAAATATTATCCTGGCTGTCATATTGGCTCTGCTCCTGTCTCAGAGCTTGGTGACCCTGAGCTGAGCAGATGCTCCGCTGGGTAGCACAGAAACTGAAGGGGCTTTTAAGCCACTCTGGGGTCTTTGGTAAGCTTTGTCCTGCTAAGGTGTTGATGCCTGATCTCAACGTGTTGTGTTGGCTCCTTCGAGGGCACCTGCTGAAATGCAAGAGGACAGCTAAAGAGGGAGGTGTAAATTTTCTTCAGTGGCTCTCCTGGGAGAATTCTAGGCCTCAGTGAAGATCTACAGGTGGGATTGTTTGAGGGAGGGGCTCTCCCGCCTCTTCAGTCATCTAATGAGGATGGCACTGTGAGGCCAGACAGGGCTCTTCTGTGTGGTCCTTGGAGGATCCTTCGGAGGCCGTAGTGTCCCTGTGTGGTTGAGGACGGAGAACGCCACATCATCAGCACAGAGTTGTAATCTAGTACTCCGTATAGCTTCCCTCTTCCTTTCCCTTTTGAAGTAACTTACATTGACTGTCTTCCCCCCAAAACAAACAAACCCAATTCACTAAATATCTCCGCACTGAGAACCTGTGAGCAGAAGGCATCCAGGAACACAAAGGGACAGCGGTGTTCCTCTGCCGTGTGGGATGAGAGGGGAGGGCAGGGTCTGTCGTAGCACGTCCTCTCTCAATGTGAGCAGAAGACATTTGAATAATCTAACAAACAAAATAGTAGTCATGAAGTAGCAATAACTATTAATACAACCATAATTGCCCAATAATGTAGAAATTAAACCATTTTTAGTATTCACTGTGTCACAAGGGAATAAACAGTTATCCCATGTGTACAGAATAACGACTTAGTCATTCCATTGGACAAGTGAAAATCAGCATATGTCAAATGAACAAGATTGATTCTTTTGATCAATATGGATGAATTCTGTGTTTTACATTTACCTGGAAGATACTTTTGGATTAATTGAAATGCAAGTGATGGGACCTGACAGATTTTCTCTGGAATCCTCTAAACCTCTGACCAATCTCTGCAAACCCTTCTAATAGATGTGGAAAAACCTTACTTTTGATGATAGGTGACAGATAACATTTCTTTGGAGGGAAGTTTGCATCGATGGTGAAGTCACACCAAAAGAAGCAGCAATATCCAGGGAAGGGTCAGAGAGGACCTATTGCCTCCGGAGTGCTCTCTCCAGAGCACTTAGTTATGATCAGCTTTTAAAACCGACTCCCCTTTTCCTTCACGATGCAGGATTGAGGCAGACTCTCACCTTCAGTGTGATTTCTCGGTGTGCTGGAGGAACTCTCAGTGGCCGGATGGGGGTCCCGTTGCTCACGTGTGCGCACTGTGCTGTCTCCACTGCAGGCCGAGTGCAGATGCTGCCCCAGGCCGTGTGCCTCCTGCACGCGCTGCTGGAGAACGGACACACCGTGTACGTGCACTGCAACGCCGGGGTGGGCCGCTCCACGGCGGCCGTCTGCGGCTGGCTCCAGTACGTGATGGGCTGGAACCTGCGGAAGGTGCAGTACTTCCTCATGGCCAAGCGGCCGGCTGTCTACATTGATGAAGACGCCTTGGCCCGGGCGCAAGAAGATTTCTTTCAGAAATTTGGGAAGGTTCGTTCTTCCATTTATAGCCTGTAGCTGGCTCAACCTGCCTCTGGTCCCTGCAGATTTCCCTTAAGGATGCTGGGGTGATGTGAGTCAAAGGACCTGGAAACAAAGATTCTGCCTGAACTGAAAGGGCTGTGTGTCCTTCCCCAAGCCACCCCCTTTCATCTGGGGATGACTCTCTAATGTGCTTTGGTTGGGCTGTATCTTTGAAATATTTCACAAAGAAAGCTGTGACTGACACATGAGAAAAAGCCCAAAGCAGTTCGCCTGGGCTTCAGACAAAAAGGCAACGCGTGCGCTTCCTGCTGCCTGCAGGCGGACGAGTCCTGTGCTTTGCAGGCACCGCGTGTGTTGTATTATGGATCAGGGGCCGCACTTTCTGGGTGCGTTGCAACTCTTTGGAACGCAGAAGAAAATTGAGGCAGTTTTGTAGATTGCATCATGTGTGGATGTGCATGTACACACACACACATACACTTGCACACTGCTTTCCTGCTGAACTGAACTGACATTATAAAATGAGAGCTGCTCAGTTGCCAAGGGAGGAAATAAGGGTAGAGGCCTGGAGAAGGGAAGAGCTCAATACGGCCAAAAAGTAATGGCCTTTCTAGGCTGTTTTTGTATCCTGCTTCGAAGGCATCACCTTCCTTATATACCCAACAACCTGCATGACAAGCGAAGTAGAGTTATTATTATCTCTCTATTTGTTTTAATTGAGGCATAGTGAGCACAGGCAGCTTACCGGAGATCTCATGGCTGGTCCAGGCTGAGCTGGAGTTAGTAATCCATGTTTATTTGACTCGGTGCTTTTTTCAACACAACGTGTTGTTTTTCCAGTATCATGTTGTGAATTCAGTTTTGTCTCTCAGAGTAAGGTCGATATCCCTGCAGGAGTTCCTACAATGAGAAATAGAACAGTATTCTGATCAGTTGCCAAAGAATTTAGGAAAGTAGTTGTACTTTGTGCAAACTAATTTAAAACATGGGGAGCTATCTCAAGGCGGTGTGTCCTGAGCCATAGCTCATAAGAGGAAGTATATTACCAAAAGAGCCCAGAGAGCCAAAATCCACAGATAATTGTTCCATAGCCTAAGACATCCTGATTCAGCACTCAATTTAGTATAATACACAGTTGCTGTGCCTGCAGAATACGCAGTTCACTCTCCTAGTTTCTGTAGGAAATACAGAGATGAACAAAACCTCAAAAGCATGCAGCCTAGAAACAGACCTGTGCTCAACCAACCGTAACGAAGGATTGAACCATGAATGATAGGCTGGAACAGAAAAAGGGGAAGTGTCTTTTTATTGAGAGCCTCTGTGTGCCAGGTGCTTTACAGTCGTATCCAATTTAATCTTCACAGTACCCAAGGAGGGAGGTTTCATTATCTCTGTTACGTAGACGAGGAATCTAAGGCTCAAAGAGGTTAAATCGACTGTCCACGGTTACATGGTGAATAAATAGATGAAATGAGATACAAATCTAGGTTTGTCTGACTCAAAGCCTGTATTTTTTTCTATTAAACTATTTAGGTCATTAAATATGAAATGTCCAATTTTGAATCAAAAGTGTGGTTTATTATATCTGAAATAAGAAGCAGTACAGTTAATAAAAGTATGCGCCTAAACTATTGACACAGTTTTGCCATCTTAATGGTAACTTGTTGATGTCAGCAGCGAAGAAGCCTGGAGAGCCAGTGGCAATGAAATCACAAAAGGTGTTTCCACAGCTTATTGAGAATTGAATATTTTTCTTCGCAAGAAGTGATCCAAAGCGTGGAAGAAGTGGTAGTCAGTTGGTGCAAGGTCTGGTGAATACGGTGGATGACAGAGAGTTTCCAAGTCCAGCTGCTGTAGTTTGAGCAGTGTTGTTTGTGTGACATGTGGTCGAGCATTGTCTTGCAAGAGGATTGACCTGTCTATATTGACCAATGTCGGTTGCTTAATCCCAAGCATCTCATCATTTCATCTGATTGGTTGCAGTAGACATCCACTGTAATCGACTGACCAGGTTTCGTGAAGCTGTAGTGGATAATACCAGTGCTGGACCACCAAACAGACCCCATTAGTTTTTTCTTGATGAATATTCAATTTTGGACTGTGTTTTGGTACTTCATCTTTATCCAATCATTGTGTCAAACGCTTGTGATTATCAAAAAGAATCCAGTTTTCATCACACATCACAATACAGTGTAGAAATGATTCGCCTTTATGTTGTGACAGCTAGAAAGGCAAGCTTCTAGAAGACTTCTCTTCTGACGCTTATTTAATTCATGCGGAACCCATCTATCCAGCTCCTTTACCTTGCCAATTCGTTTCAAATGGTCCAATATTCTTGGAAGAGTAACGTCAAACCTTGTCGCTAATTCATGGGTGAGTTGGATGGATTTGCTTCTACTACAGCTTTCAGCTCATCATTATCCACCTTGATCTCAGGTCTCCCACGTGACTCATTTTCAAGATTAAAATCACCAGAACAAAACTTCTCAAATCATCCACATACTGTGCATTCATTAGCCACATCCTTCCCAAACACTTCATTGATATTTCAAGCTGTCCGCACTGCCTTGGTTCCACGACGGAACTATATATGAAAATAACATGAATTTTTGACTTATGGTTTGACTTATGGATTCAGAAAAATTGCTCTAAAAAAAATTGAAAGATAATCACAAGCCAAAATGTGCATTTGAAAGAATGAGAATATACCTTCACAATAAAAATAAAACAAGAAGTGTCACAGTGACATGTCAGACATATCAACTGTCACATTTAATACTTAAGGAAATTGGACATTTCGTGCTTAATAACCTATACCACGCTTATTTTTCTCCTCCTATTCTTCTACAAATATATATTGATAAATATGAGAGACTTTGATTTAGGAGGCATGGGGCATAAGAAGGACACAAGGTAGGTTTCAGTAGGGCTCAGAGGAGGGGGAGATGTCTTATAAATGTGGCACTTAAAGGAGGTGACATTTGCTTTGGGGATAGGAGGCTAGACAGGACACATTTCTCCTACAATTTTACAAAGTTAAATTTATAAGGCAGCACTGAGTAATGTGAAGTCCAGCTCCCTTGCTAAAAATAGCTAAAGATGACTATTGTGTTCAAGTAAATCACAGTCATAATATGTTGTGTAAAATTTAATCTTAAAAATGGAATATTTTTAGTTGCGTGTGTGTGTGTATGAATTTCCTTAACATCTGGAAAATCCAGCTAAATAATTTCCACCATAGAAAGACTTTTTTGGCGTGAATTTTTTCCATTTGTCCCTTTTTGCTCTGATAGACAAAATCAGTTTAGGACTACTAAAGAATGTTTTGGAATAAACTCTCTTATCCTCAATGAATGGAATGTCTAATGTATTTCAAAATCACCTAAATTTTTTTTGTTAAATAAAAGCATTTCAAAAGGCCTTTGTGTACAAGATTTTTTTGATAGTATCCTCTTAGTCTGAGATCTAGAACAAACTATTTCCTTATTTTAAAAGGGGGACGTCAACTGAGCTAAATTGTTTTTTCCTTGTCACCCTTACTCTGTCATTAACTGATCAAAAATTGGCAGTTTAATGACAAAAGAAGTCAAGGTGAGGGCACCACAAAGAAGTGAGGATGGAAACTTCAAGAGTATGTCGGAGAAAATCAAAGCAGATAGTGCACAGTAGCTGCTCGTCACAGGTGTTAACAAAACTTTCCAATTACGTGTTTCTCAAAGACAATCACAAGAAGATCTCATTGATGGTAAAGGAATGTCCATATAGGGTTGCTTTCTTTTAGACTTGCGACATTATCCCTCTATTATTTTGTTTGCCAGACTTAGGAAAAATCTAAAGAAGAAGAAAAAAAACCACTCTCTTCTGAACAACAATAAGGTGTGGGAGGAAAACCACTTGCCTTGGCCTAAGAAATAATGGTGGAAAAGTGGTTGGGACTTTGGAAACGATAAAGAAGTAATGAAAAGAGAGATTTGAAAGCAAATTAAGAAATGGGAAATGAAATGAAACTTGCCACGCTTGAAAAATCACTGAATAGCTAAACATGGAGTCCGTTAGATCACAAGTTAAAACTGAAAGTATCTTTAGAGATAATCTACTCTAATGCCTTAATTTTACAGAGGAACAAACAGACCCAGAGATATCAAATACCTTTTTCTTACAGCAAAGAGTTTCAACTGAGGACCAGAGGAAAAAGATGAGTTAGGCAGATAGGTCAAGAGATTTATTTTGAGGTGGAGGAATCGTAGGAGAATTAATGGGAACAGGAGCAGACAGTATCATTAGTGGAAAAGAATTGGTGTGAGGATTAATGGAAATTGGAGTAAGTGAGAGAAAAATGGCTAAAGTGAGAAAAAGCAAAGACCAGTGTCACTTTCAAAAGAAGAAAAAGCAGGTGCTTTCTTGGGGAGGATTGAAAGAGAAGGTGTGACTATGGAAGCAGAGAGGGAGAGTCAAGGTTATGTGGCCAGGAAAGAGAGGCATCAAGCAATCTTCCTGCCTCGGCCTCCCAAAGCACCAGATTACAGGCGTGAGCTGCCGTCCGGTACAGCCATCATGAAAACGAGTATGGAGTTTCCTCAAAAAAATAAAAATAGTACTACCACTTAGTCCAGCAATTCCTCTTAAGTGTATATATCCAAAGTAAATAAAATCACTATCTTAAAGGGATTTCTGCACTTCCATGTTCATTGCAGCATTATTTACAGTAGCCTAGATACGGAAGTATCCAATGACAGATAAATGAATAAAGAAAATGTAGTGCGTATATATACAATGGAATATTATTCAGCCTTAAAAAAGAAAGAAATCCTGTCATTTGCAACAACATGGATAAAACTTGAGGACATTATGCCAAGTGAAAGAAGCCAGACACAGAAGGACCAATACTGCATGATCTCATTTCTATGTGGAATCTAAAAAAAAGGTCAAACTCATGGTAACAGAGAGTAGAATGGTGTTTACCAGGGGCAGATAAGGGGGCGGAGAAGGGGAGGTATTGGTCAAAAGGTACAAACCTTCAGTTATAAGATGCATAAGTACTGGAGACCTAGTGTACAGCATGATGACTATAATTAGTAATGTATTGTATACTTGAAATATGCTAAGAATAGAGTAGATCTCAAGTGTTCTCACCACAAAAAAGAAAAAGGTAGCTATGTGAGTTGGATGTGTTAATTAGCATGATTGTGGTAATCATTTCACAATGTATATGTATAAAAGACATCATGTTGTACACCCAAAATAATACAATTTTCATTTGTCAATCATACCTCAATAAAGCTGGAAAAAAAGATCGAAGGATTCGTATCATTTAGAAACTGAATAACGGATAATTAGTATTAAATGACCAGGCATGGCATTAGAATGGAATGGATTACAAACAAGACACTTGGCAGAAATTAGACATTGAGAGAATAGATATCTGGACCTTGAATAGAACAGAACAGATAATTGTCCTTGCCATACCCATCAAGACTTTATCAACTCCTAGTGAGAGAAAACACAGAACTCACTGAATAGAATTTGCTGTTTGCTGTATTTGATTGGATAAAAGATGGAACATATTTGTATTCAATGGAGATCTTTATTGTTGTCTTCTTAAAGTTAAATGATAATTCCAAAGATGGATATATAGTCTAAATAATTTCAGAAAAGATTGTACACCCAACCCATAGTGGACAAACAAGGTGAGTATCCCCCATTCTCGCATTCCTTATGTTTAAACAAAGCCAATTACTGCCCAGCACCTCGCATGTTTCAGGGACTTAAGCCACGTATGTTTATTGTAATTACAGTTATATTTGGACTTGTTTATATTTATTTTTTTTCAAATTCTTGTTTATATTTACTTATTTTTAATCTCATTTTTTTTTTTTGCTTTTTCCATGTTTCTTTTCTTGCCTTTATTTTTGATAATTATGTCTTCTCCCCTATAACAAAAGAACTCTAATATTGACTTACATCTACTGGCCTTTGTATCTCCTTCATGTTGACATGATTACAATTATAATTACGAGTTGTTTTAGATATACTTCCTCTTTTTGTGTTCTGAAGTTGTTTTTAAATTGTTAGGGAAGGCAAAGAAAATGTTGGTGGGGACCTACTCTTTGTTGCCAGACAGACCTATGATCACCACCCCGCCCCATTTTTAACTTCCTTATTAAATATTTCCCACGGCTTCTGTTATTACCGAGGACTTTAAGCCCAGTGACTCCCAAGGTCCCAGTGAGCATATTATGGTCCACTTCTCCTGCAGTACTGTGTTCCCCCTAAGGTATTCTGAGCCACACCTTCCTTTGCTTTAGTTCATCCATCAACTCACTCCCTCACTCCCAAACATCACTCTATCACACTGAAGTACCTGTTGGTAATCCTTCTTAACTGTCTCTTCATTGTTGCAGGTGGATTTCTGTCTCCAAGTTTTACACTGGAATTTTCATTCAGATGTCAGGAACAATAGTGTGTTTGCCAATTTAAACCAGAGTTTTCTCAATCATTGTATATACCAATGACACGCCCAAATCTCAACCCTCATTTTAAAGCTTTTTACTCAGTGCCAGGCTCTTGTATCTTTTTTTGTTTGTTTGTTTTCAGAACACTTCTCAGGATATCTCCAAAACTTAATATTCCATAGACTGAAGTTTTCTTCCTTTTCACAAACCTCCCATACTTTTTCTGGTGGCTGGACATTGGCAACATCTTGGCCTAGTTGCCCAGGTCAGAAACTCAGATGCTATGTTTGCCATCTCTCTTCTATTTATCACCCTCCTAAGTACTCAGAAAATTCTTTCAACTATACCTCCTTAAATATCTCTTAAATACAGCTACTCCCCTCTAGCAGCTCTGATCTGGATTATTAAAGCATCCGGACTTATCTTCCTATTGCTATTATTACTCTTTCCCAGACTCGTCTTGATACTGCTGCTGGAGAAACCTTTCTAAATTTCAAATATGGTGCTGTCTCTTCCTGGCTTAATTCTCCTCAATGGCTCCTCATTGTTCTCAGGAAAAAGTAAAACATCCTTAATGTGACATATAAGGCCCTTTATGGTCTGGACCATGCCTTACTCTCCCATCTCCTTGTCACCCCGATAACCATCCCCCAAGAGGGCTCTCCAGCCACAGAGAATTACTTAAAGATCTATGACCTTTTTTATCCTCTGGTTTTGCACATACTTTTTCCTCTGCCTGGAATCCTCTTCCCTCCCGTGTATATCTGGCAAACATTGAATCATCCTTTGGGTCTTCAAGGTCACCCCCTCTGAGATATCTTCAGGAGTGCTCAAGGTTGCTCCTCCCAGACGTTTTCCTAAGGACCCTTCTTAACACACTGTACTGTAACATCCTTAGGCAGGAACTGCAAATAATGCTTAGCATGCATAGGCTTTTGCATATTCTTTTACATTTAAGCCAAGTTCTTCCTTGGATTTTATGCTCTGATGTAGTATATATATTAATCTAATAGAAACATGAACAA